TGTTTTTAGTGGTTTGTATCTTGCATTTGTGCCTATCTGGAATATATTTTGCTTGAAGGAATAAAGCAATAGCAATAATGTTAAAAACTCCCTGGGTTTTCTATATGAGGTCACTCTTAATCATGCTATGTCTCCTGTCTAAGACAGGCTCTTCCATTCTCACTCACAGAAGAGGCAAGTTAAAGAGCTAGTGCTTGGTGATGCAACAACTAACTGCCAGAGTGGAGCTTGACCCTATGGATTTCCTATCACTGTCCAGTACATCCCACGATGTCCAGGTTATTGTTGCAGTATCATTTATGGGGATGACATTTGTCTTCTCAAATGATTCATATACAAACTTTAGCACATACAAAATTTCCAAATCTCCTTTTATCAACAATACTATTTGCATTTGGTTTTTACCATTTCTTCTTTTGGCTTTACCCATCACCCAGAGACCAAGCTTTAGCTGCAGCTGAGGTCACACATTCCTGAAATGTTCAACTGAAGGTTGTCCTAAAATGAAATCAGTTGTACGGGAACTAATTCAACTCCTCATATCAGGATTTGCTTTGGGAATTTGTTGGACACAAGTTATCCATTGGAGAGATGCAAAACCGGGATGGGGAAAAAATGCCAGAACCTTCTGGAAGCATTTGTCCTAGTGGTAGAACCTGAAGAGAAGGAAGCTGGAGGGAAACCTGGATCTTCAGTCTTATACAGAAATAGTGAGGACCCCTTAGAGGGCCTCAACAAACCAAATGGCAGTGCCCTGGAAAAAGGAGATGATGAATAACTGCCCCCCAAAGCATGCCACTCTACCCTGCAGCACAGAGCTCTTGGTATTAATTTCCAATTTTTCTTCATTGAGGTTGAAAACAATTCTTGCTATGATTTCAATTTTCAGAAATTTGTTGAGAGATGTCTACTATATAAGCTCTCTTGAAGACTATTCAATTCTAAGAACAGACTTTTCATAAACACACACACACACACAGACACACACACACCACAGGCACACACAGGCACACACCATTCACAAACATGTTTAAATGGCATTTGCATATGGTAGCAGTGGGTCACTCAGCCAGTTTGGAAGAATTTGGCAACACACCTAGGTTTGGGGAAGCAACTGACTGTTGCTGTTACTATGTCTCATGAGGATTGTCTGTGGTAGAGAGACTTCCCAGGAATAAATATTTTAGTCGTGGTTGAGCAAGAAATTCCAGTAAGGGAAGGCCCACTATGTATTCCTTAGAAGTACACTTCATTGCGCGTGTAGTATTCACGCTGAAGGACAGTCAGAGGATGTTCAGTGAGAACGGGAGTTTGCACATGAGATGTAAAGAGCAGTGATGGCATTCAGAGAACACAGTAAAGCAAGCACGATTTCCACAGAGGTTGATAAACACTGAACGGAGCCCAGAGATGAGGAAAGATGTGGCAAGGCAGGACTAAATGCACGAGTAGAGTAAATTACAAAACAGGCAGCAGTTTTTCTCTCCACCTCCCAACCCCATGTGCCAAACGTTATGAACTGGTCAATATTTGGTGACAGAAAAAAAAGGGGGCCTGAGATGGAATTAATTTATATTTTCATTAAATTAAGTTGAAAGTGAAGAAGAGAATAGGAGAAAACTGGTATCCATTTTTCTTCATTTCCCAGATGTTTCCTGGTTGACAGCCATATCCTAGGACTCTGGTGCCCAGTGCATCTTAGACTCTGATCTGCTCTCTCTAGTTGTACAGAGTCTACTCAGTAATGATAAGATTCAAGAAAGAACAGATTTGGGGGAAGGACTTAGTAGTACAGACAGACACACCCCTCTGTCATCCTTTTCTTACTGGAAATCAGGAGTAGACTGTTGCTCACTGGGAGCTGCAGAGCTTCTCAGGCTGCTGGGTGAATTTGAGGCTGGGTTCTTGGACATGATGTCCCCTGAGCAATAGGAAATTTCTGCTCCATAGGCAGGTTCTTATCTACCGGCCCACTCACCCACCCATGACCATGATCCTTGAGAGTGCTTGAAAGCCAAGCTTACCCTGCGTTTTCATTTGTCTCTGCTCAGTGCATGTATGGTCAGGGGAGTTCCTGGAAGCTGTGGAGTATCCCAAAGCTCTGGGCTTGGACTTGTCCTTTTTCTGTCCTTATTTCTGTCTTGGCAATCACGTGGTCCCATGTGCACCTGACTTTCTTCACTGATGGACAGGAATTCTGAGTATTTAGCTGGATGTTTAAGATCTTTTCTTGCAGATCAAATAAGCATCTTAAACTTCTATCTGAAGGTGAGCTTTTGTTAGAGAACCCCAATCCATCCAGCCCAGTCTTCTGCCTTGTTAAATGGTGATTCTGTTCTTCAGAGGGCTTGAAGCCAAATTCTTGTTGTTTCATTTGACCACCACCCCATGCCTCCTCAGTTCTGCCATTGAAAGCTCTCGTTGACCCCACCACACCTTACTACCTCCACCATCCAAACCCCGTCCTCTATGTTCACTGGGACTGTTGTTGACTCTGACTCTATCTTTCCTTCCACATCTGCTCCTGCACCCTTTCCTTATGAATTTCTGGGCTCCAGTCTGTGTGCATCAATTCAGTACACCTCTGTGGTATTTCCCAGTGCTTCACTGTGGCAGCCCAAGCTATTCAAATATAATGCCTGCTCTTTCTGCTCTGTTCGCCATGAACCCTCAATCTCAACCCTGGCTTCCTCTCCTCTCATCCCTCCTTTCAGCCATACCTTCCTCCTTTTGGTTCTCGAATCTTCTGGGTACTCCCAGTCTTCATGGGCCCATCAAGAAACAGGTGGCCCTCAGGCTGGGATAACTTAGAAGGTTCCCAGGGTTTGCAAGTAGGTGATATCTGTTTCTCCACACACTGGCAGCCTCTGGCTGTTGCATGGTTATTCCTGAACAGTTTCTAAAGAAATGCTCCACTGATGTTGCAGCTGCCAACTTCCATTCTGCCCGTTTTCAAGAACTTGATTGATTTTTGCCAGGAGGAGCCCAGACAATGGTGAGGACTCATAGTCCTGCTGCCATGGTCCTCGGATTGATGGTGGTGGTCCAGTGAAGCCACTACAAACTATGCAGGGTTCCTCTATGTCTGGAGAGAACACACTCTAAGGTTCGCAGTAGATAACTGAAAGCAGTGGTAGACTCACACTCTGTATGTGCTAACTTTTCCTGTATTGTACATGATTGGCCAGTAAGACACTAACAGCCCCAATGACACAGAACAAGTGTAACATTAGACTGAAGTAGGGGCCATTTAAAACATATTAGCTCAGTGGATAGGGGCCCTAGCTGCCAAGCCTGGCAACCTGGGCTTGATCTTGGAGTCCACATGGTGGAGTCTGTTCTCTGACCTGCACATATGCACTACGGTATGGGCGTGTACACACATGTACACATATACACACACATCCATACTCACATGTATACATACACACACGCACACTCTCTAAATAAGTAAGTAAGTAAATAAATAATTATAAAAAACATGCAAACATACTAATTATTTCTGGAATTTTCACAGTTGTATTGTCAGATAGTAGCTGGCTGAGAAGAACCAAAAGTGGGGGGCACTGAAACAGTGGAAAGGGAAATTATTGTAGCCACTGAACTTAGGTGAGGACAGTGACGGCTGAGTCACAATTGCTACCTGTCTGTTGTACAAGAAGTGGTGGGCCTCTGGTAGATGACAAGAAATGAGAAGTATTGTTATTGCTCTTTCTTGGGACTATCAATCCAACAGGTATGAGAGAGCAGATGGTTCGAGCTACTGACACATCCCTGTGATACCTACTTGGTGGTCTTTTGTGACTGCTCATGTTTTCCGTTAGCTTTACCCGGCAAACTTTATCCTCTGATGTCTGCTCACTGCTACTTCTGGTCTTCTCTGCTGAATATTGTTGTGCCCATGACTTTAACTTCTTGAGATAATGCCATATATTTAGAAACGTTTTAAATAGGCTTGTCATAGAGAAATCATTTGATGTGCACACCAGCTCTAGAGCCTTCTGCTTTCAGACTGTGACATGAGATTTTCTTCCCACGGTGGCCTGATTGTGTTCCAAGAGAGAGAGGGTGGGAGGAGACAGTGGCAAGTGCCTGGACCCAGGACTGAAGTTACTCTCAACAGAGTGGCAGACACTTCCTGATGGGCCTCTTACTTTGCTCCCTGGTGTGTACACACACACACACACACACACACACACACACACACACACACACACAAACAAACACAGTCTCTCCTTGAATTAGCTCTCCCCCTGGTTCTGGCATTCAGTCACACCATGTGGTTGTATGTAGAGATCAAGTATGAATGGACTGATGTGTTTGCCAAGAGTAGACAATAGTCTGACAGGAAACGTGAAGAAAGGCTGCCTACTTCTTCAACACACAGGCCTGTTGACCCCCATAGTGTTGTTTACTTTACCCAGTTCTTGTCTTTGCTATGGTCTTAGTTTACCTATAAAACACTATTTGAAAACGACCAGAGACGATGGCAGTGGGAACTCATAACTGGACTCAGAATTTCTAGCTCTGGATGAGATTCGGGCAACAGGACAACGGCAGAACGGGCTTTCTATGAATCCTTCGGTGTATCTCCTTGCTGACTCAGAGTCCTAAAGAAAAAAGGGAAGATTAACGCTTCCCCTAAGTAATGGGCTGCTGTTAAATTAGGAACGAATTGGTCTTTTTGAGGTCATCTAGACTTACACCCTCTGCCTGCAGATTGTCCTCTGATCAAAGCACCTTATGACTCAGTGGAACTCTTTTGGCCTGCAATTTGTAATTCTCTTCAGAGGTAAAAATACCAAAACAAACAATCAAACAAACAAAAGGTGGAAATTGTATTGAGCAATGAGAATGGCCATCCCCTGGGATATGCTAACTTTTCAAGGTTGAATTTCACTGAGAGAAAAAGGGAAGCCTGGGTAGGTGATTGATTTAGTTTTTTTTTAATTTATTTGTTACAAATTTTAAATATTTGCTTTATTTTACTTTTTGTATAGTTGTTTTGCCTGCATCTATGCCTGTGTATCATATTTGTACCCAGTGTCTGCAAAGGTCAGAACAGGGTGTTGGACCCCTGGTACAGATGATTTGGAGCCAGCGAGTGGGTGCTGGAAACGAACCCCAGGTCATCTTCAAGGGATACAAGGGTTCCCAACCTCTGAGGCATCTCTCTAGCCCATCAGGTGATTAATTTAAACCTAGCCCTTTTGAGATTATATTTGTCCTTTTTCTAATCAGCATTTGTTTTGTTTAGTTTTTCATTTTTTAACTTGGGTTTTTGCTTTGATGGCTTTGCTTGAATGAATCAAATGAACTGGCTAATCACTGAGTTCTTGCCAGTGATTAGCCTCCATATCCCACACAGAGGAAGTCTTCATGGTGTACATAGGTCCCTTGAGGCCTGGGCTTTGTACCTCATTTGTGACCGGAGGAACATTTCACAAGATAGGAAATGTGAATTCTTCCTCCAAAGGCAGATGACATGGATACAATGGGAGGAGAAGAATAAAAGAGTTTACTTCCATCGCTGACCATGGCTGGCCTGAAAAAACCTATCAGGAGTTAAAGCTAAATAAAATTCCCTTTCTTGCAATTTATCTTTTTCAGACAATCAGACCAATGGCTTTCTCTGTGGCCCTTCATCCAGCCTTCCTCTTGGTAGTACTGTCCCTGAAGACATCCCGAAGTGAAGGTAAGAATCCAAAACAGAAGTAAAGAACATGTAAAGACGAACCAACTGGTGCTTTAAAGAAACATTAAGCAATTTCCTTAATTAACTTCCATGAGATGTGCTAAATCTCTGGAAGCCACAGTTGCCTTGGGTGTGGCTTCCCTCATCCTGATGACACCATTGGTAAGCCCACACCTTAGCCTTGGTTTTCTGCTCACTGCTCTGCTCACTGGTGCGGTTGTAAGTGGATCTGAGACCACAGAATTTCAGGATTGCTCTATGTTATATAGACCATTGCCAAGGTATTTCCTTCCAAACACTGCTGGGCAAGATGGAGCAGCCCAGACTAGTTCTGGCAGCTGATTTTAGAACAAGTTCTAATGCCCCTTAGGCACACTTGCCGAGAGCTGTTCAGCTTATAAAATATGGCTGAAAGCAACTGTGGTATGGAAAGCACTAGAAACTCTCTCAAGAATATTCAAGGTAATATGTGAAGTGTTGAAATCTGTTTACAGCCCGAGAAATAATGTTTGTCAATTAGCTGTCCCTAGAAGACTGTAGTTTGGAATAAATCAACTTTGTAAATGTACATGTGTGTGACTAGTTTATCAAATGTGTGTGGATACTTTATTTCTTTCAACTTATTTAAACATAGATTCTTAGACTTGAAAGCATTTTCCTAGGTGAATAAATTTCCCCTGCATTTGTTTACATTGCATAAAACTTTACATTTTTCTTCCTGTATATATTATTCGCTGCATTTCCTTTTTAATAAAGAGTACAGATATAGTTCCATACATGGATTTTGCAAAACTGCCACTTGCAAAGAATATGCATAGAATTCCTCATTTATCTCTTAGAACTACAAGAAAAGTTATGTGGGGAAAGGGGGAGATTTAGTTCTGCTAATAGCTCAAGTTCTGCCTCACATCCTTTAGGTTTGGTTTTGGCATGTGGGAATATACTATTATTTCTGGCTTCTTAAGCACCAGTTAACTGAGCTCTTCCATAAGTTGGGGCTGCCAAGGGACAGGGCTTTCTCACTGGTGGCATGTGTAGCTCTCTCAGTCTGTCTTGCTGTTGGAGTCAAGTACACTGTGACTGATTAGGGAGACTGAGCATGAAGAATGTTCCAGCCCAGATCACAGCCCCTGGTTCTGAGACAGCCTAAAGCACCAAGTCCGTGTGGGGAGGCACTCCTGAAAGAGCAAGCGAGCATTCACTGTTTTTGCCACAGCTTGTTCCCCTAGCAGAGTCTTATGATGTGACCTGACTGTCTGGGCATGGCATATCTTCTGCATGTGAAATTTACTGCTCTCAGGTCAGCCTTTGCAGCTTAGTTTCTATTGGTTAGATCAAACATGTTTCCCTAATTTCCTGACAATCCAATTTCCATTTCTGCTTCCAACTTTCTTTACAAAGCAGGGTTTCCTTGGTAGATCTTCATCTTCACCAGAACTGTGGAGACTTTTTTTCAGTGTCTGCTGCCTACTACACCTCCATTATCACTAGTGAGCTCACCACTTAATTAATTAACTAGACTCAGGTCAGAGACTGCAAATAACCCTACCTAACTTCTTCCAAGCACCCTTCAGTTGGCCCTGTGCATGTTTCCATCAACCAGAGGAGTTGACTGCAGCATCTTGATGTATTTTTTTCTGTCTTTTCGGTACATATATAATGTAAATGTGTGGAGATTAATCTTTTTACATTCATTTAGATGTGTGTGTTGTGGGGGTGATCAGAAGACAATTTGTGGGTCTGTCTTTCCCTCCATCATGTCGGTTCCAGGGACTGAACTCGGGTTACCAGGCTTGGCTGCAGGCACCTTTACACACAGAGCCACCTTGCTCTCCTCCAATATACATTACTATCACATGGCATCCCATTCTGGGAATTAGCCACACATCATTTCCTCCAACAATATTAGGGCTGGTCAGAGAAACTGTGGGGAAAGTGGAACTGTCTGTGACTAAGCCTAGGATGGAGTCCCCAGATGGCCTTCTTGGCCACACTCCAGTGTCGTGGCATGAGAGCTGGCCTGGGAGCCAGAAGCTCTGAGTCTGGTCTGGTATGAGCCTTGGCAGTCATCATCTCCACTTTTAACCTCAACTAGCTTCTCTGAAGAGTCAGCAGGATTGGATGTATTCATCTCCATGGTCCCTTTGGCCTCTCTGGCTTCACCTGGAAGGAGTTTTAGTTCTCCCCCCCCCACGATACTTCTAACTGATGTTACTCAAGTACCTGAGTCATCCCACACTTGCTGATAACGTATGCTAATTTCAGGAGCTTCCCCTTTGTTGAAACAACCTAGGACAACTGGGTAGAGCTTCCAGAAATCAGGTTAGGCAGGGAGTTGACTCATTCATGTGTCAGTTGTAGAACTGTGTGTTACTAATCTTGATTTCCCTGAGCTAAGTAAGACATAGTCACACTCTTGTTTCTGTCATAACCCTCAGTAGAAAACCAGCTTATTACAACCTTCTGTGGTCATGGGTGAGAAAAGTCAGAGGTCAGGCAGACAGAGAGAGAGCATTATTTGCTTTCAGGTCACTATGACAAAATACTTGAAGAAAACAGCTGAAGGAAGAAGTTCGCTTTGTCTCACAGCTTGAGACACAGTATAGGCATAGAGGGAAGGAAGGCGTTGAGGTAGAACTGTGGTGTAGCTGGTCACATTGCATCGGTAGCCCTGGGAGACTGACTAGGTTTCCAGTACCAGGTGTGATTTCTCTCCTTTTAGTTGGTCCTGACATCTGATCAGACATTGATTTCCACTAGCGTGTTAGTTACACCCTACCTCTTAATCATTCTCCCACATTTGACCATCCCCACATGAGAACCAAGTTTCCAAGAATCTCTGTTGGACACTCAAACCATATACAAACCCCAACATGGAAGAATTTAAGTCAAAATATGTGATTTAAGCTTGACAATGTAGTAGGAGTGGAGTTGGCAGATTCTAGAAGCTCAGCTTTCTATTTTTTTTTTTTATTGAACCCAGGTGTCTTGAAAGTTTTTATTGAGGTAACAACAGTCCCATAACATAAAATTAAGTATCTTTATGGTTACAGTGAGCTAATCATCAGTGGCATTTAATATTTCATAATATTACTGTAACCATCCTGTGGGAACAAAGATATTCTAAATTTGTGCCCCTCCTTTGACCTGTCAGATTATTTGTTCCTCAAGGAAATGGAATTCCCCTGGGAGTCACAGGGCAGAAGAAAAAAAAAAGGCTGAAACCTAGTGTCTGCCCGAAAAGGAGCTTGTTTCCCAAGAAAAGATTTCCCAGTTCTAGCAACTTGTTAGAACGTCTTGCAGGAGAGACTGGTGTATCAGGGTTTTGCGTCTGGGCCACCAACCAGCTCCCAAATTATGACACAGAGACTAAGTTATGAATGCTTGACCTAGCTTAGGCTCATTTCTGACTAGCTTTTTTTTTTTTTTCTTTAACTTAAATTACCTGTTTCCTTTTCTCTACCTTTTGTCTCAGGACCTTTTACCTTTCTTTCTTTCCATATATTTTACTTCCACTGCTTCTCATGTCTGGCTGGCAGCTGCCTGGCTTCTTGCCCCTTATCCCGGGCATGTCTGTTTCTTTCCCTCTCTTTCTTTCCATTCTTCTCCTGAGCCAAGATTTCTCCTCCTATTTATTCTCTCTGCCCTTCTAGCCTCACCAATCCCTCTCCTGCCTCGATATTGACCATCCAGATTTTTATTAGACCAATCAAGTGCTTTAGGCAGGCTATGTGCAACACATCTTTACATAGTTAAAGTAATATTCCCCAACAGACTGGAGCTGAGATAGTGATGGACAAGACCACACTTTGACTGGGATTGCTTACTTATGATGATACATACCTCCTGCCTTCTATTTAAACCTGTACCTCATTTCAAGATAGAGTCACTGGGTCTCTTTGTTTCTCTTCCCAATCTAGACAAAGTAAATAAACGTGCTTTCTGTGCTGTGTGATATTATTCATGTATTTAGTTGGCCTACTGGGGATGAATGGTGGAGCCTTGCTTCTTAATGCTGCCAGAGCCCGGGAATTCTAACAACTCTAGAAACACAGCCTCTGGCTGCTGGAAACATTAATATCCATCACACAATAGCTCCTGATTTTTCAATCCCCCATGCCAGCAACTACCAAACCACTTACTATTTCTATGGCTTTACCTATTCTGGACATTTTACATAAGAGAAACCATACAATATGTAACTCTGTGTCTGGATTCTTTTACCTATCACAATGCTTTTGAGTTCCATCCAATGTGTAGCATGGATCAGAACTCTATTCCTTTTTACTACTGGATATATGCCCTTTGTATGTAGAAACCATGGCCTTCAATGTGAATGTCATCCACTGAAGGCATGTGACTTGTTTCCAACCTTTGGTGACTGCAAATGGGGCTACTCCAAACATTCATGGGGAGACATGTATTTGAATCCCTGGTTTCATCTGGGAGGTGGGTGGGGTATAGACTTAGGAGGGAAATTGTGGGTCACTTATTATAATGCTATAGTAAGTTTCTGAAAAAATTACCACAATGTTTCCCACAGTGATGAGCCATTTGACATTCCACCTGCAGTGTACAGGAACTGCAAACTTCTCCATACCCTCATCCACATGCGTTATTTCCATGCCTTTAATGATTATTGACGCCCTCCTCGAGAGTGTGAGGTGGTGTCTCATTTGAGATGCCATCCTGGGTTTGATCTTCCTTTCTTAATGACTAGTGATAATGAGCATCTCTTCATGTCGCTTTTTGGCCATTTGTTTATTTTATTTGGAGAAATGTCTTCCAAGTCCTACGTCCATTTTTAAACTGAGTGTGTTGCTTTTCTGCTGTGAATTTGTATGATTTCTTTACATAGTGGAAACACTAGAAACTTACCTAGCACATGACTTACAAATATTCCTCCCATTTTCAGTCTTCTTATTTTCTTTATAACACTCTTTAATAGGCAAAATTTAATACTGATGAAGTTCAGTGTATCTTCTTTTCCTATGTTACTGGTGCTTTTCATTTTATACAGAAGGAACCACTGCCAAGCCCAAAGTTGAGGTGCCCACACTAAGCATATCCATCCTTCCCACGCTGTGTTTGGGAAAATGTCCCACAGGATGGGGAACCTGTAAACAGCTGTCTTTCATTTTATGGGTGTTCTCATTAGTCTCATTTCCAAAGAAGCTACATCTGCAACTTTCTGCCATCAGAAAGCAATGTCTTGTCTGGATGTGAAGTCTTCCACTGTGGAAAAGTCACATGAAAGCACTTCATTCCCATCTCAGCTTATGTGGCTCCATCCAGGATCTCATTCTGCCGGCAGTATCCTGGATGCTGCTGAGGCCATGAAGCATGCTTCTCTGGCATCAAAACCCATGAGACCACGGATCTGACAAGGGATCCTACCTTACCAGTTGTGAGACAGTGTAAAAAAGGGAAGCACATGTTTTGATATCAGGGAGATCACTATTATTTATGTTTCACAGAGCTTTTGTAAGTTATTTAATCTCCCAGAGCTTTCATTTCCTTATCTATGATAAAAAAAAATTGTCTTATGGTTTTACATTGTTACCTGATACATCAAAAGCAAAGCAGCTTCTACTATGCCTAGTAAATAACACATGCTCAGGATTGATGCCAATATCCTCCATGAGAAGAACAGCATATGTGCACTGGTGATTTGAGGACCCTCCTTCATGTTTTGCAGATTGCTAATATTTTTATAAGGAAGATACTCCCTTGCCTTTGTGGAGGGGAGAGGCTGCAAGGGAACTGAACTGAGGGCTTTATTCATGTTATGTGTGTTTAGTTACCAATCCACTCCTCCCCTAGATACTCTCTTGCCTTTTAAATGTGATACAGGAAGCTTTCAGATCACCAATATTTAAAAGACTAGGAAAATGTATGCCAAGAAGCAGGTGTCCCTCTTATACATTGGTCAGCATACGCCAGCTGATTTTATGAAGCGAGTCTTTATCTTTCCAAAACCTTTGTAACATTCCCAGTTTACTTCAGACACCCTCATCCAACAGCTGGAATAATTGAATTTGCAACACATAATTCCTTCCTATTCTCCATGGTGTTTCCCACTGTTAATCGGAAGTCAACAATTTAGTCTCTGGAATTGGCAGTAACCCAAGTGGATCCAGGCCCACCCTCTCTCTTGTGACAGTGTGTGATGCCTCTGTGTGCGCACAATGGCTGTGATGCTATTTGGGGTTTAAAGATGGTCGGAGAGACACTGGGCACTTCTGGAGGTTATTAACCTGCACAACGCTGTTCATGTTTAAACTCCTGTTCCTTTAGAATCATTACACTGTTCACTGTTCTAAGCTTGCAATCTTGATGGTTTCTGTGATTTTGTTGTGTCTCTCCAATTAGGCTCTTCCTCTGACTGAGGAACCTTGTCACAAGTGTTTGTTTCACATTAAGTGCCTATAATTATTGCTGCCTCATCCAAAGAGTTCGGCAAACTCTTGCTGGAGGTGTGTAAGCTCAGCACGTTGAAATACATGGAACCATGTCTCTATATATGATATGCTTCCACTTTCGGACCTTCTAATAAGCCATGGAACCCCGAATTTCCAAAAACTGATTTTTAGTTTTAAATTTTAGAGTATGAGATCTTTAGGGGGAAAAAAATCTCTTTGTCTCCATTATGAATTAAAATCTGTTAGATTACCCACGAAAGACACATTTGTGCAGGTGTTTACCAGCTTATTACGCTGTGCATTGCTGAGCAAGTTTTCTGCTTCATTGGAGTCTTAATTTCTTCCTCTGTTGATGTAATTTCTAATTCCTTCCCAGCTTCTCTTGGTATCTGATGCTAGGATGTATACACAAGCATACTGTCCAAAGCTCACCAGTGAGCATGTTGAAGGGTGTCTCTGTTAGATGTGTAGCTATTCAATCATGCCCTCATTGAGAGTTATTTTCTACCTGTTTTTGGCCTTTCAGTATTGGGCGAGCCTTTCCAGTTGACTCCTGAGATACTTACTGTTTCTACTGAGTCTAAACTTCAGCAAGTGAATTTACAGTGGACTGTTCCAAACCTTACTCACCAAGAATTAAAAATGGCATTTCAGATAGAGATAAGTAGAATTAATACATCCAACATCGTCTGGGTGGTAAGTATTTTTTGGCTTAATATTTAAAAAATTCTTTTCCCAGGCCATGATTTGTCTTTTATACCATTCAAAAAAAACCTTATTATTCCACAACATTTCCCTCTCAGTACAAGTTTCCTAAACAATCCTGTGTTTTTTTAGTTAAAACAGTGGTTCTCAACCTTTCTAATGGTGCAACCCGTTAATACAGTTCCTTGTGTCATGGTGAGACCGACCCATACATTTATTTTCATTGCTGCTTCATGACTGTAAGTTTGCTACTGTTGTGAACTGCAATGTAAATACCTGTGTTTTCTGAAGGTCTTAGGCCACCCCTGTGAAATGGTCATTCGACACCCAGGTTGAGAACTGCTGAGTTAAAACAAAGTAATATGGCCCATTGGGTTTGATGGATTTATTAAAAAAAAAAATAGATTCTCTCTGTTGTGCTGTTTGCCCCAAGACAGTCACTGGGTCTGTCCCTGTAAATACTGGATCTGTACGTTCCCTGCAGATCAGTTATCTCACTCTTTTCTCCTCTTTTCTTCTCTGTCCACCCAGGATCACCAAGGAAAGTTGGGTTGTCCTGAATATGATATAAGGACTTACTAAAACTTTTTCACAGTGAGAGTTCTTGGGGTTCCTTTTACTTGACCTGTGTTGAGGGCACAGAAGAGCAAGTCCCAGAACTTACTATCTGGCAACACAGAGGTTTCCATGGACTGCACTGGACAATAACTTAGTGTCCTCTGTTTCCTGGAATGTGGGTTTGCTAATACATAAATTCATTGATTAAATCCTTCTTAAGGGGTGGAGGCTGGACGATCAGAAGTTCAAGACACCACGTGCTACAGAATACATTCAAGGCCAACTTGGACTACAGAAGCCCTTGCATCAAACCAAATGAAAGACAACTTTCAATTTTTTTTTCTGCTTTGAATTATGTGGGGTAGATTTTCACTCATCTTGATTCAGGCAATGATGTGTCTGCTGTGTCTGACACAGTCTCATCATAAGAGCACATTGGTCACAGGCATTAGATATTACTATGAGATGTTTCAGGACAGTTTGTCAAGGCAGCTTAGGAATATTCTGGAGGTAAAGGACACAGATGACTGATCTGAGAACCCATCAGCCCTCTTGAGGTCCCTCTTCTCTCGGCAGCAAATGCTTGCCACTTAGTAATCAGGAATGTCTGTCCTGCTAGTTAAGCCTGTCACTAATGTTAAAGTCTTCAGTTCTTTTCCATATCCATTACCAAATACAAGGTCTGAGCAAATGGCCTACGGTAAATAAAATCTGACTCAGTCCACTAGGGCTTATAGCAGGTCTGTTGCTTGGCTGTCTTTTCAGAGGGCAGTTTCCCACAATGGTAACTGTTGAATGTGTGATGTCACCTTAGAAATACATATGTGTAATAATTAGCTGTCCACTTCCCACCATCAGCATGGTTTCCCATCATCCCACTTTACACTAAGAAACCTGATTGTTGTGATTTTGATAGGTATTGATTGGCAGTTTGGGCCTAAAGACACATTCAACAAAGGTCCTATTGGACAAAGAATGGTCCAAAAAGAGAAGGTGGGAGAAGTGCTGAGGGGAATTTTAAAGTGTGAACACTTATCACCATAACAAAATAGCAATAGAACAAGGGAATCTTTTCCTGGATTTCTCTAAAAGACAATTCTTATCAGTTCTCGTGTCAGGAAAAGTGAGTAATGTTAGTCATGGAACAAGTGGATCCCATCCTTTATTTTCTTAAGTCTGATTCCCTATTAGATTCACGAAATGTAGTCTCTTTGAATAATGGGAAAGCAGTGTGTGGAAATTATTTTTGTATTTCTGAGGGGTTAAGATCCCCAAGGGTGGACTATTATGCCATCCATTTATGCCACTTAACTCAAAACATGCAGCTCCAGCCTCAGTACAACAGGGACAACCACCACACAGATAATTGTTTGCAGTTCTGTCAAAGAGGGACAGGGAAATAACCTCATTCGTCACCTCCATGGCCAGACAGGGAAGATGGTCACATGCTAGGGCTAGGAGATGCCCTTGTCTGACTCTTCTTGTACCTGGACTTGAGGAGAGACATGAGATCTTCCTTCCGTTAAGGGAGGGAACACACTTCCTTCTGGAAATTCTTCTTTGCTTAAGCAGTTCCTTGTAGTGTAAGTAAGGAACCCCATAGCCACTTATGCTGAGGGAGACAGATTACAATCTCATCATTCATTGTGCCAGATGAAACGCACGTTAACCTAGGGGCTCATACTGGAATAGGACACTTCCCTGACAGTATTAGCTATACAGAACTCTGCGGACAGCCACACTACATGGTGCTGCCCTGGGCTAAACTTTGCTCTTTCCTCTAGAACATTTTCTGTATTTTTTTGTCAACAGCAAGAGAAGGCTCGAGCTTGGGAAGATGCCAGGGATGTGAATCATCTAGGGATAGGTTTCATGCTTCAGCAATTGAGTCATTGACCTCAGATATATTTCTGTGCCTGGGCATATGCCAGTTTCTTTGACCTACTAGTGTATCCAAGGGCTATATTCAGATCACCACTTCAATGACAAAAAAAGTTAAATTCATCACTTTTTAAAAAATCTCTAATTTGATTAACATAGTCAAAGTTTATCTTCTTCATTGGCAAGACTATGAAGACTGCACAGTGCAGAAACTTAATGATAGATAGAATCCACAGTGTCTGGGGAAACATTACCTACTACATATTAATCAGATGACTAAATTAGTTAGTTCAGAAGGTTGGACTGTGTGCCTGCATCAGGCATTGTGCATGGTGTGGGGATTTAAAAGCTGAGCACACAAATAGGATGTGTGGGTCCCTTGTGAATGCTGTGGATATAGGACTAATTTTCTCCCACAATTTGAATGAAAGATTCTTTGAGCCAAGATATGAAAGGAGAGTTAGAGTTAATTTAGCATGAAAGGTGGGAACAAGATCTCTGAGAAAACCCAATGGGAGCTATCAGAGGCCTTGAGAGAAGGGTGTGGGGTGGCTACCCGATTTGAAGTCAGGCTGCAGTGCGTGGGCTCAGAGTACATGGAAACAGATTGGAGCAAGGAGGTGCAGGGCAAGACCACCCAAGGCCATGGGAAGAACAATCAGATGTGTTTACCTGGAGAGCAGTAAGAAGAAATGGTGTGGCGAGATGTGAGAGTTGGCTGCAGGGGACTGCCAGGGCAGGAATGGGTGTATCTAGGGCGATTCACAGGGGGACCCCAACTCTGGCCTGCTGACAGCATAGCAATTCACTGTCATCTAGTTTCCTTCTTTTTTTTCTTTTGTTGTCTAGTGTTTGCTCTATATTTAACAATGTTCAAATGTAATGTCTTAGAGCTATTCGTTAAATAGTGAAGGTTTCATGAATATGGATATCAAAACAGGCAGGCAGAAATATGTTGTGTGATCCAAGAATAAAGCAAAATAATAAGCTGATATAAAGTATTAACATTTTAAAAATTCTGTATAGAGTAGAAAGGAGGTACATAATTAAATTTACCTGGGTGGGCCACAGTGTTCTTGTTCCACAGCTCTGTGAATCTGTTGTCTCCATGATTTAAGACTGGTGATCTGAACAGGACAGAGATGTTAAGAGTTGTTGCCTACAAGCCTGACATGTGGCCATTGGACTCCATATACTGAGTACAGACTCACATTAGCCTCACCAGGAAATTTAAGGTGCTGTAAGGAATGTGTCTTCCCTAGGCTTTCTATTGCAGTGATGAAATACTGTGACCAAAAGCAACTTAGGGAGGAAAGGGTTTTTTGTTTTTTTGTGTTTGTGTTTGTTTTTGTTTGCTACCCTTCCATATAATAGTTAACATTCGTCATCAAAGAAATTCAGGACAGAAACTCATGCAGTGTAGGAACCTGGAGGCAGGAGCTGATGCAGAGGCCATGGAGGAGTTCAGCTTACTGGCTTGCTCAACTTTCTTTCTTATTGAGCCCAGGACCAGCAGACCAGGGATAGTACCACCCACAGTGAGCTGGGCTCTCCTTCATCAATCACTAATTAAGAAAATGTCCTACATCAGGCTTGCCTACAGCCTGATCTTATGAAGTAATTTTCTCAATTGAGGTTCCCTTTTTTCAGGTGACTCTAGCTTGTGTCAAGTTGACTTAAAACTATCCAGCACAAACTTGGGAACAGGGCAGAGATTCTAAAGGGGCACACTAAAAAAAATGAGCCCCTGAAGCTATGGGGGGCTCAAAGAAGAAAATATGATCTCTGCTCTCTTGGGTCATACCAGATTCACAGGTAAATTTCAGGAAGGCATTATGGTGGTTGGAGATAGGAAGAATTTAAAGGAAAAAGCAGAAAATTCTCATAGGAACCTGAAATACAGTTCTGCAGGAGAGTTCTCACTAACCATGTTTGAGATTCCAGGTTCCATCTTCAACAATGAATTATTTTAAGGCTTTATGAAGGAGATTGAGTGGCTTCAATAAATTCAGCTAATCCCTAATGCAGAGGGAAGTGGAGGACACTAAGCAACAATGCCTTATGAGCAGATATTGAGATGTCCAATAAGCCCTCAAAAGTGTTGGGTCCAGAGAGGAGATACCTTCAGACTAATGGGAACCAAACTGTGGAAGCCTTGAAAGACAGAGAAAGATATCATGGCACCATTGAAGTTGATCAACTTTGAGACTAAAGATGCCAATGTCTTAGACAGATTAATACCCAGTTCACCTTGAGTAGGTCCTCAAAGAGGAATGCTGTTCCATTGGTGTCTCTAAGTCCTAAGGTTCTGACAGAGGGGGCTTTGTGGGGGGATGTGGTCCATCTGGCCACCACTTTTGAAAGGACAAGAGAGAAAAACAAGGGCCACTTCTGGAGATGTTGGTGTTCCCAGAGTGCCATGGAAGATTTCCCTGTTTGCTCAAATTTAGTTAGTCTGATCTAACCCTGGCTAATATGAGTATTTAAAAATACCAATAAATATTGCTTACTTCTAAAAGGAAAATTCAATTAGTTAGTTTTCTAGAATTTTCTTAGGGTTTAAGTGACCAGCATGGTTGAACATCTGTCTCAGATCTTTGGTTCAAGGTTTGAATGACTTCTCTTTTCTCTCACTTGATCTGTATGGGCCCCTGGGCAATATGACAGGCATGGGGATTGAGGAGACAGGAGGCCATAACTGCTGATGCACACTTCAGAGCAAGGAAGTGATGGGTTGGAAGTGGACTTAATTTAGCAGCATGGTGGAGTCAAAGCGGGGTAGAAGTTTGTCCTTTGGAATAATTCAGGTTAACCTATTTTGCAGGATGCAGTAACTGTATAACTCCAAATATTTCCTTCATTTTAGGAGAATTACAGCACCACTGTGAAGTGGAACCAACTTCTGCATTGGAACTGGAAGTCTGAGATCCCCTTGGAATGTGTAACACATTTCATAAGAATCAGGGCTATGGTAGATGATGCCAAGTACCTTCCACAGAATTCTTGGAGCAACTGGAGTTCCTGGAAAGAAGTTAGTGGTAAGAAGTGAAATGGTTACAAGTGAAGTGGTCACAACAATGATCAGATTTAGTATAACTCAGAGATCAGTAGACAAGTGAAAGACATTCCAGTCCGTTTGAAAGCCCCTGAGCTTACACTGGCATTATTTTCATTTGGTCATAATAGAACTAAAAAGTGGCTTTGAAATTCCCTCATGGAGCTCTAGATGGCTGAAGTTTTACCCCTAAATTAATTTAATTATGTTATTTAATTATGTGATTCAGATAACTTTGCATTCATTTTCCAAATATGCAAAATATGTTTACTTTAAAGCTGCATATGTGTTTTTATTAAAGCAGCACACACATTCAAATACATACACACACACACACACACACACACACACACACACACACACACGGAACATGTATTGGGAATATTTCTGTAAAGGGCCCCATAGTTTCTTTTGAGACTATAGCACTTAAGTCTTCAGAAAGCAGCCTTAGACAATGTGTAAACAAATGAGGGCAGCTGTGTGTCAATAAAACTTTATTTACAAAACAGATGGCACACTTGGCTTGGCTCATGGGCTAATCAATTTAGAGGCAGGGAGCAATATGAAGAGAAGGAAAGCAACTTTTCATTACAGTGATAGAATTGTGAACAAATAACTTTAACAATCCTTTAATTTTGATCATTGAATGTAAAGATAACTCCACCAGCTGCCAGAGTTCTGCCACCGCTTTAGGGCTCCCAAATAACACACAGAGTCCTATATTGGTTACAATGCTGCTGGCCAATGACTAGGATTTCTTATTTGCTAGCTCAGTCTTAATTATCAACCATAACTACTAATCTATATATTTTTATAAGGACTTATCTTACTGAGGACACCAGTAAGATAAGTGTCCTCTCTTCCTGGGATCACATGGCGACTCTCTCTCTTCCTACATTTCCCAGAATCCTCCTTCTCTCCTAGTCCTGCCTAACTTGCTTCCCTATTGGCCAACAGTGATTTATTTATCAATCAATAAGACAAACATATACGCAGAAGGATCTCCCCCATCAATTGAACATTGTTGTAGTTAAAATTTAGAGTGGGCCATAGATTCTCATATTCCACTAGGCTACAGCAATAACATCTCTATTCCTCACTATATATCCTGACATATTATATGAAATTCTACTAATATAATCATTCCTTTGCCAAGTATTGATGCAAATTTATTAACTGAAACTAGCAACCTATTAACCCAGGAATAGCCTAATGCATACATTGATAGCAATAAAAGTAAGTATACGTTCTACAGTTTTAAACACTAAACATTGGTTTAGATATCACATTAACCCTAAGAAATAGGCTTTATTTTTATTACCACTTGACAGATACAGAAAATGAGGTCCAGGGAAAGTACCTACATAAGCCTTGTATTTCACAACTGTATCTTACTGCTGAAAGATTATATATATATAGTATAAAATAGTAAAAAAGCCATGCATGTTAGCATATAACCAGTGCTCACTAGGTGAGTCAGAGGTTAACATAAATTCATTGTATAAATTTAATGTACTATATAGTGCGTTCAAAGCTGGCCAAGAGTATGTAGTGAGATCCCATCTCAGAACAAGCAAGCAACAGCAAGAGAAAAATAAATAAATGTGTTATAAACAATTTTGGTAAAAATGGACTAGACATCTTAAAAACTGTAACCATAAATTTATGCAAGAATAAATGAAAATCCTGACCCTCAGAGGGATGTTTCTCAACCATAGTTGTTCAGTAGAATCATATGGAGGTGATTAAAAACCTTCAGAGAAGTTATGCACAGAGCACTTGGCACAGGTGAGGTCAGTGACAATAAATAGCTAGTGGCCTAATAGACTACTGAAGATAAAGGTGAGGTAGTGAAGCCTGAGTCGAAATTAGGGGGAAGCTTCTTCTAAAAGGCCACCTAGAGGGAGATATGGTGGCAGCAGGAAGTTCCTTCAAAGAGGGAGAATCCTCAGGATTTTGATATGTCATAGGTCACAGCAAAGAAAAGACTGGAGCAGAAGGAGATGGAAACTGAGTGAGCAGCATCTCTGGGAAGGGGGAGAGGGTATGACTCAGTATGATGGAGAGCGACATGGCTTTGGGGCTGGGCAAGTCTTAGCTGTGTTTAAGCCGTTCAAGGGAGAGATTGTTTGTTCAAGGGTACAGTCCATGATGGCATGGACGGTCAGGTTGGTAGAAGCTTGAAGCAGCTGATTGCATCTCATTCACAATCAGGAGACAGAAATGCTAGTGCTCAGCACCCATTCTCCATTTCATACAGTCCAGGACCCCATTCAGGGACTTGTACCACCCACAGTGAGAAGGACTTCTCATCTTGATTAACCTAATAGCAACTTTCCAGTAACTGGAAGTGATGATAATGATGCTGTTTTAGATGGAACACTATGACAAAAGGTGATACAGTGGAAAGGATTGGTTTGGACCCACAAAAAGGTCCAGGAATCATGTGGAAGTTTAGGCTGCTATTGTCCCAAGAAAGTAGAATGAAACTATATTAACTACAGGGAGTGGGAGGGAATTTGTCTTAAAATCTGAGTAAGACTAACCAAGGTTTTTTATCTTGCAGTACAAGTTTCAGTTGCACCTAATACATTATTAATATTTCCTGATAATAAGCTGTTGGAAGAAGGCTCCAATGTCACCATCTGTTTGCTGTATGGACAGTATCTATATAATGTATCCTGTATGTTGCAAAAAGAACCAATCCATGGAGAACAACTTGATTCACACGTGTCATTAATAAAGTTGAATAATGTTGTTTTCCATAGTGTCTCAGGAACAAACATCCATTGTAAAGCCATGAATGCCACTAAAATGATATTTGGTACTGTCCTGTTTGTCTCAAGTAAGTTCTCAACTTTCCTAATGCTGTGATACTTTAATACAGTTCTTTATGTTGTGGTGACACCCCACCACCAAAAAAATTATTTCTTTCCTACTTCATAACTCTAATTTTGCTTCTGTTATGAATTGTAATGTAAACATCTGACATGCAGATTACCTGATATGCCACCCCTGTGGGTGTCACAATCCACAGGTTGAGAACCACTGTATTAGAATGCTGTCTCCTTCCTTCCTATTTCCTATGAAGCACCTTGATCTATGAAGCACAGAAATATGTTCACATGTGGTTTTAGTTTTCTTCGATTTTGCAAGTCTTCCAAAAGAGGTTTTGAAAATCGTACCCAGAGCAATATTCCCATGATTTCCTATTGTTTCCTGTTTTAGTGCTAACAGTTTTATTCCTAGAACCAACAGTATTAAAGGAGAGGGGTTTCAGGACATGGTGCACAGAGATTCAAAGACCTATGTTGACCCTGTCTCTTGGCTAAGTCTGTCCTCTTGGTCATTTCCATGAATGGGCATTGTAATGGCTTAGAGAATCTATGAATATGGGTGGCTTCTAGCCCCAGTGTATCAGTTCAACCACAGTGGCCAATATTGTTCTTAACTGGATGGGAAATTAATTCCTTGGCCTGTTTAGCCAGAGTGGGAGCAGGCTGACTTTTTTGTAGGCTGAAATATGCCTATGCTATGGCCTTCTGTGTCTGCTCTCAAGTTTCCAGCATCCTAAACTATAGGAAAATATCTTAAACATCTCTCTCTATTGGAAAAGGAGGCAATTCCAGACCTGGATGCTTCCATAATCTGGATCACTTACTGCAGGCTCTGGGAACAGAAGCAGTTCCACATTTGTGATGAGCTTTGCCCTTCCTTGTACTCTCTGCTCCCCATGGCAGAACTGAACTAGTTCACAGTCAGGCTGACATCCCTAGGCTTTTTAATGTAAGCCACAGAATCAAAATGGAATACCAACCCTCTTTCAGGTAGACACAGTTGACAACCCCCTGCCCAATATTGACTAAGCATCCTCAAGATATCCCACACTGGGGAAGAGACTAGAATGGGAAAACACCTGAAATATACCTCTCTGAGCCACTGATCTGCCAATTTCCACCTCCTGATCTCTTTGTTTGAGGGACGGTGACTTAAGAACCCAAGCAGAACTTTCCTTTTGACTTGTCATTCAATGAAAGGGGTTAATTAGATCTTTCATCTTTTCCTTTGTATGGACAGAAGTGCTTGAGGAGCCCAAGAATTTTTCCTGTGAAACCCAAGACTTTAAGACTTTGAAATGTTCGTGGGAACCCGGGGTAGATACTGCTTTGGTATGGTCTCAACAAGATTCTCAAAGCTACACTTTATATGAATCGTGAGTCTACTCTGGTTGCATCACCTACAGGGTCTTCCTTGTTTAATTGTCACAGGACAAGCAATTCTCCCTTAGAGAAGCACCCACCCTTAGAGAAGACACACATACTCTTAAATGTGTCTCCTTTCTTCCGGATGAGCTTCTGTCTCCTACCCTTTTTAGTTAAGCTTATATTAAAGTGTCTTTAGAAAATTCCAAGTCTATTTCACATATAAAAAAAAAACCAAACAGATGGAGCACAAGGAGAGCTATATTGCAGAAAATGTGTACAAAACTTTCAGAACTGCCTGCTGGAATCACAAGGAAGTCTTTTAGTGTCTACAAGGGGTATAGGACCTTCTACCTGATGTGCTCTGGAAAAACATGTACAATAAAAATAAGAACAATTGATTGTGTATCTTTGTATTAAGATAGTATTATCTGTTGATATGACTTTCCCTATTTTTTCTAAAATTTTAAGAATATTCAACTAGTTAATTGATGGATATACCACCTACAAGAAAATTTCATCCCATATAGAAAATGCATGGAAATGTTCTTATTATTGGGGACAGAACAATGGTGACAGAATAATGAATTCACAGCTTAAAAGTTCCAAGGGATCAGGATAAATCTGCTTTGGTGGAAGTGTTTAAACTGTCTTTGCTATCTTGTTTTGTTCCATTTTTTAAGGTTCTCTGGAAGACGTGAGCTTTGTGACCACAGAAATTCACATAACTGGCAAATCACTGATGATTCACAGGAAACATATAACTTTACACTCACAACTGAAAACAACCTGAGGAAAAGAAGTGTCAACCTCATTTTTAACCTGACCCATAGAGGTGAGACAGTGATGCCACGGCCCATGATGGATATTAGCATACCATTTTATGCAGTGAGACCCAGTGAATGCACTGTAGATGTTGGCCTAGTTCACAACCCTAGTGAAGCTAATCTTAGTACTTCTATATGCTCACACTTATCCTCTTGGATGTGTGCATTCCCAAGCACTCGTTTTGATCATATCTCAAGTATCAATGAGTTCTCTAACAAACTTTAATACTAGCATTCTGATGTGTACTTATTGTATAGTCTATTTCAGAACCTTTCTTTCTACTCTCCTTCAACAAAAATTGCCTCTTGCTTTAAATTGTGGGTAGAAATGTGGATTTGTGTTCTCATTTCCTATTTGCTCTAAGGATCTGTGAGGTTTGGGTCTTATTGTAGATGAAGCCATCTATAGCTATCTAGTAGTTGCTTCTTATGTAATATTAAGTTGCCAAGATATGCTTGTACTGGGAACATTGCTGTACTTACTCTCTTTGCTGTGCTACACACTTCATGGAAATGTGCACTATTTTATTCACTCATCTCTTTCGATGGCTTGCAAGTTGTATCACGTTTTGCTTGGGGTACTGTTTTCATTAATATTAGAATTTTACATGTGTCTGTACACATGGATTTCTTTTTTGGTATGTATCTAAGAATGAATTGGCAGAGACATAGTCTTCCTGAGTGCTTACTTCTCAAACCATGTTCCAAAGTTGTTTTTCTGGTTACACTCTCATTCTATGGATTTACTTATTCTCCCTAAGGTTGTCAGGTAACTTATTTTTGACAATTGAACTGGGCATAAAATGGTATTTCTTGATGGTTACAAATTTAAATATCTCTTCTTATACTGGAAATATATACATTTTTCTTTTATGATATGTTTGATTCTGTTATTAATTCATTCCTTTATGGGTTGTTATGTTTTTTATTGGTGAGTGTTTTTCATATATTCTTAATGTAGACCCTTTGTTATTGGTTCCTATGTTGCGAATATCTTCACTCAGTTTGCAGTTCTTAATCTCACACATGCCTATTGACAAAAAAAATCTCAATTTTAACATAGAAAAGTGTACCAAAATCCTGTAAAGAAATCCTTTCCCATTTCAAGGTCAAAGCCAGAAATACAGTCATTCATAATTTTTTACTGAGTGTTAAAGTGTTTTTAAATATAACTCTTTTATTTTTGTATACCAAATAAAGTTGGGATGTAGCAATGAGGTATTTTGATTTTAGAAGAACCACTTGTTCATTTCTATTCATTTAGTAGCTTTTATTTCCCTACTGATTTAACAGGCCAACTCTTCCTGTTATGAGAATGTATTGGAGTCATAGACTCTGGACAGTTTCTATCTTTCCACACTAATAGTCCCCTCTAATTTTGTGGACTTCAATTGTAGTGGGTGTGAATGATGCTAAGTCTCTCGATGCCCTTTGCCAGGTGGGTTCCTGTCATTGTAGTTGTTATACTCTCTCTTGTGCATAAACCCTGGGACTTACTTGTCAAATTACAGTTAATTTTGATTTGCATTGAATCTATAATTGTAACCTGGATAAATCAGTGTCTCTGTGATTTATCTAAGCCTTCCAATGCGTGATTTTTATATTTATGTAGGCCTTTGTTCATAATACTTTAAATTTTGCACATTTTAAAATCTATAATCACTACAGCAATTTCTCTGTAGACCAGACTGGCCTCGAACTCACAGAGATCTGCCTGCCTCTTCCTCCTGAGTGTTGGGATTAAGGCATGAGCCATCACCACCTGAGTGACTCCAACAATTTCTAAAACTGGCTTATGTTTTATTTTCTGATGTTTCTCTCCTCTCATCTTACAATATTATATTTGCATTTATATTATCCCTTTAAAAACATTGTTGGGTCTTTGTAGCTTATGAATATCTATATGTTAATGCTCACCATTAGTTCTCATACAAATGTTTGTCTACACATGTTTGTTATTTGAAGCTATCTCTGTAGGGTGTTCTTTAGAAATGGCTGATGGAACAGTAGTCCCATGAATCCTTGAATGTCAAAGTGGGAATCTTATCTTTGTATTTAAAAGTCAGATTGACTGGGTATAAAATTTAACACTGTCTCCCTTGAGTTTAATGAGCTCTATTCCTGCACTCTCTAGTGACATAGAGAAGACTGATGAACATCCAAAGATGCTTGCTGGCCATGTGGTTTTTCCCATTATTAAACACTAGATCTTTTGACCTAGCTGCCATAGGATTTTTTTCTTTAAATTCCAGCAATTGTACTGGAGTTTGCCTATTTTAAGCTGATCCTTTTAGTGACATGGTATGTTCTTTCAGCCAGCATGTAGTTCTGAATGTTTTTAAGAAAGATCTTTGAGTTGCGGTTTTCCATATTAGCTCAAGAATCTGCCATATTGCCATTAGGGAAGATGAAAGGCTGAACCATACTCTTGTTATCCCCCTTCTGAGTTGTTCTTCAGAAAGTCCAACTATCCATACATTACATCTTCATGTGCCACTTTATCTTCAATTCCTCTTACTTTTGAAGTCTTTCTCCCTCCTAGTTGCCTAAGAAGCCACCTGTCATGCACATTCGCCCCTCCTTGGTCATACCCCAGGATCCCTCTTTTCACTTAACCCTTCCCTGCATTGTTCCCCTTTCTTCCCCATTATTAGTTTCAGTTTCTCTGCTGAGAACTGTTTTCCTTCTATGCATTTCATCTGTTTGACTTTGGCTCATGAACCTATTTCAAACATTTGTGTAGCAATTCTATCATATTGGTCATTGGGGGCATCTGTTGATGATCTTTTCCCTTGGTGACATTATTCTGGGATGTTATTATTATTGGATTGTTTAGGGCTATTTCCTTGACACTGTTAATATTATTTTAGTTAGACTCAGGTTACATTATAATGTTCTTCCATTGACTGTCTTCTTTAAGTTTTGGCTCTTCCTCCATAAACCGATTGATCATATTTAATTTTAAGAGTCTGTGTGGAGTTACTTTTTGTATTTTACTTCAGTGTCTAATCCAACATTAAATATATAAGGCAATTGGTGAGTGAGTAAGATTGCATACTGGTCACACTACATGTTGTCAGCAAGTCCAGTGTTGTTTGTGTTTTCTTAAACATAAACCAAAAGCACTGGCAAACAAACAAGTGACAGAATAAATTGCTTATTTACTGAGTGTTACTGAGTTCTGTTTGGATCTGCTTGATTCTCTCCTTTGTTCCTTTTCCTCTTATTGACAGTTCATCAAAAGGCTCCCCATGATGTCACCCTGGAAAATATAGATGCTAGAAAAGCCAACATGACCTGGAAGGTGCTCTCCCGTGGAAACAACTACATACTTTTGTGTCAGATTGAACTCCAACATGAAAGGGAAGTGATACATGTAAGAACATTTCTTTGTTTCCTACTTTAAAAAAATCTTGATGTACCTAAACAGAGAGATGGCCAAATAAGCTTTTTTTCTCCTAATTTAATTTTGGGTGTCACACAACTATAATCCTAGCAGGCAGGAGGCTAATTTGGGAGATCACGAGTTTGAAGCTGGCTTTGGCTACATAATGAGACTCCATCTGTAAAAACAATCAAAATACAAATAAAAAATGTCTTATTTCAGGACAAACATGCTGGGGCACACCTGTAACCTCAGCATTTGAGAGGCAGAGGCAGGAGGATTACTATAAGTTGGAGGCCAGCCTAATGTACATAGTGAGTTCCAAGATAGCCAGGGCTACCTTACAAGAACTTACCCAAAGCCAAAAAGAACAATCTAAAAGTAAGAAAACTCACTCTATTAGGCCTTTATTTCAACATTTGTTCACAGTATGGGTGATCATTTGAAAGGGATCCTGACATTCATCTAAACATTTAGCACTGAAAGGAAAACCTTAAGGAAAAAAAAAATCCCTCTTAAGAAGACCCAGACTTCTAAATCAAAGATGACCGTGTTCTGATTCAGCTTTGCAATACAAACACAGCTATAGTCTTTGTTTTTCCTTCACCTTCTTGACTCAGGAGCACAATGTTTCTGTCCACATGAGTGCCAGCTACCTCTTCAGTGATCTGGAGCCAGACACAAAGTACAAGGCTCGAGTGCGCTGTGCGGATGCCAACCACTTCTGGAAATGGAGTGACTGGGCTCAAAAGGAGTTCTGCACACCTGAGGCTGGTATGTGGAGCTCCCTGGCATTGAACTCACAGTCTAAGCCTCATGATACGCATGGGTCAACTTCCTTCAGAAGTCTTGTTTATGCTAAACACTGAGAGGAAAGTATTAAGGCAAAGAAAATATCATACTTTAAAATTAGATTAAATACTTAGGGAGCAAAGGCATTTGATAACAGTTTTATTTCTAGTGTGTGTTTTCTCAGGTAGTTTCTTTGCTACCCCTGGGTTCACTTTGGATTTGGGTGTGGGTCTTTGACTCAGGGTTGGGGACAAAAGAATGAATCAGCGTCTTGGAAAGCATTGGCCTTATACCACACAGCATCAGACAGTCCTTGGGAAGGCATGGTCTTTGGGACAGTCATCTTTATTAATAAGTGATTCATCCCAGTGCTAGTACACTGGGTTCTTCTCTGATTGTCTTTGGTACTTAAGGTTTCTTCAGTCCTGAGTATACATAGCTATTCTCCAAAGAACTATGTCACAGGACTTAGGTGGGTGTCGGGAGACAAAGTGGCCTGGCCCAGCTCTCAGACCTTTCCAGTTCAAGATAAGAAATCATGGCTATTGTGGATGAACAGATTAAGGTACAAGGGACTCGATAATATAGGTTAATTTTATTCGGGGAGAAGCCACTTACACGGGAAACATAACCCCAAGTTCCAGCTCCGGGGATCAAGGTCAGCTGCTCTCTCTGACCCAACAGGAACCAAGAGAGCTTGTGCCCTCTCTCTCAGCCCTTTATTCCACACACCTTCTATGTACCTCTGACCACGCCCATTCAGTGGTACGAGTATCCAGGGTCTCTCCCTACAGGCTGCCCTCCCTTTTTTTTTTTTTTTTTTTTTTTTTAGATAAGACAACTAGTAAGAGAGAATTGAAGGGACTCGACTGTGTTTATGCTGTTAATGAACATTAGGAACACAAGCAATAGGAGCAGTTCATCTGTGATTGTGATACTTTGACTCCCTGTTACATATGCAGGAACTTGTTGTTTGAAATGGTTTTTTGGTTTTTTGGTTTTTGTTTTCTCTTTTGGATTTTTTGAGGGGCCCACCACCCAGCACCCAAAATAAATATGCACACCAAGGCTTATTGTTACTTATGAGTGGCCAGCCTTAGTTTGACCTAGTTCTAGCTTGCTTTTCTTAACTTTAAATTAACCCTTTCCCTCTAGCCTTTCATCTTTCTTCTGTATATCTTACTTTCTTTCTTACCCCATGGA